GGTCCTGGCAGAGACAAAGAACCATCGCTACCCCTTCCCCGCGCCAAAATAAGTCCTATACATTCCCGACCTGAAATTATATGTAAAATGAACTTTGCTTATATATCTAATATGAGTAAAATGCCCTCCTGTTCTAATTACTTCAATTTATTCTTCACTATCTCCCGGCCAGGACCTTCAGGAGGCGCCACAAAACATACGCGTCCCCGCCCAGAGCAATAAGGACCCACCCACTTTCGATCTGGCTCTGCGCATGTGCAGACCGTACCAAGCTGGATTTTTTTTTTTCTTTTTTTTAATTTAAGGTTGCCGCCTACCGCATCTGAATTTAAAGGGGCCACTGCCTTCCTGAAGTTGGTTTGAAGGCAAGCAGTGGTTGTTTGTGGACGGCGCTTTGTCATGGGACCTGTGCGGCTGGGACTATTGCTTTTCATTTTGGCCGTGTACGGGGCTTGGGCTGAGACGCCGAAGGACGACGATGACACTGAACGCTTGCCCAGCAAATGCGAAGGTATCTAAAGGGGGCAGCCCCTGTTTGCATCGCCTTGCCACACCTCCTTGGTCCAGGCCAGACTTAAGGAACTGTGATGGGTGGGTCAATCGACCTCTTGGAAGCCCTGAGGAGGTTCTGCTGGAGTTTGGCAGGATTCGAATGGGGTCAAGGGAGAGAACGGATAGTGCCGCCCCAAAACTACGGCACTACAATTCCCATGACACCTCTAGAGGATGCCCGCTTTTTCTTGCTGGCTTGCGCTCCAGTGGATTGTGGGAACTGTAGTTCAAGGACTGCCTGCCCAAAACCAACTCTACGGAGCATCTTTAGTGTTTCCCCGATGTCACAGACCTAAATCTGGAGAGCGTATAGGAGCGAGGTATGAGGCTCATATCTTGTGGACATCCTGTACCCCACCCTGGCAGAGACGCTCCCAAATTACAGGCCCCACTCCCTCCTGTGGGGGTGTGAGGGTGAGTAACTCAGCCCTCGAAGCTCATAAACAAAAGAAGGGGAGACCAAAGAACTAGGAGAGGTGCCCCGTCCGTGTGAGGCTTTGCAGAGAATGTGTACTGTATGGATTTTACAGCAAGCATCATCTTCCGTGCCTGCATTAGTGTGGGGCCCAGTGGAGAGGGAGCACTTTAGAGCTGGATCATTGAGTACCCTGGTTCCCCAGTTTGTTGCCTGACTTTAAATTTCTTCCCGAAATTCTTTTTCCCTTTACCTCATCTTCCACTACATTTCAGTATCAGTGTTTCTCAGGACTTGCATATAAGTCTCTTTGTTGTATGGCCCCAAACTTTCTTACAATTCCATACCCCCACCTCCTATCTCCAAAGGGCCCATGCTTCAGCCACACTGATATTCTCACTGGTCACTGAGCACGCCTTGTCCTTTTACACCTCTGTGCCTTTGCTGTTTCTCCCTTCTGTATTTCATAAGCTCCTATCCACTCTTCAAGACCCAGTTTAAATGTGTCACCTCCTTTAGAAGCCTTCTTCCTTATCTGTCACCTCTCACTATGTTGTAAACCCCTGGAGCAAAGAGGAGTGCTTGTGTATTCCAGGTCCTAGCATAGGTCCTAGCACATAAAATGTGCTGGGCACATTTTAGGCACTTTTGTTACTTTTGCCTGTGTCAGTAGCTTGTCAGTAGGCAAAAGTAGCTTGTCACTTCTGTATGGGCCATTCTCTTTCTTGGGACTCACCACATGCCACGTTACGTGCTAGGTGCTGGAAAGACAGTAGTGGAACAGACATGATGCTCACCCTTAAGGAAATTGGAGGCTAGTAGGAGGTCAATAAGTGACCACTGAATGAGTTTTGCATTTCTTTTTTTTTTTTTTTTTTTTGAGACAGAGTCTCCCTTTGTTGCCCAGGCTAGAGTGAGTGCTGTGGCATCAGCCTAGCTCACAGCAACCTCAAACTCCTGGGCTCAAGCAATCCTCCTGCCTCAGCCTCCCGAGTAGCTGGGACTACAGGCATGTGCCACCATGCCCGGCTAATGTTTTTTTCTATATATATTAGTTGGCCGATTAATTTCTTTCTATTTATAGTAGAGACGGGGTCTCGCTCTTGCTCAGGCCGGTTTCAAACTCCTGACCTCGAGCAGTCCGCCTGCCTCAGCCTCCCAGAGTGCTAGGATTACAGGCATGAACCACCACTCCCGGCCTGAGTTTTGCATTTCTTAATGAGATTAAGTCACTTGGTCTTAACCCCCGGTATACAGTCTATTACATTATATTGTCATCATTGGTTTATCTGTCCCCAACTATATCTACAGTGTCCCATGGATAGAGATAGTGAGTCTTATTGCCCTCTATATTGTTATTGTGTATAAAAAATGAGTTTAATAAATAACAGCAGAATAACAGCAAACATTCACTCAGTACCCACTATGTGCCAGGCAGTACTTTAAAGGCTTTACATATTTTGATTTATTTAATCTTCACACCCCTTCAAGGGACATACTATTATCCCATTTTAGAGATGAAGAAACAGGCACAGCAAGATTGTCATATAGCTGTTAAGTGGCTGAGCAAAGATTCTAACCCAGTCTCTGCCTGGCTCCATTCTGCACTTCATGCTCTGCTGCCATTGTTCATATGCAGAATGAACTGCTACTATGTTTGCTTGTTTTTCACTTCCTTGGACCTCTGTCTTCCCTACCAGTGTGTAAGCTGCTGAGCACAGAGCTACAGGAGGAGCTGAGTCGTACTGGCCGATCTCGAGAGGTGCTGGAGCTGGGTCAGGTGCTGGACACAGGCAAGAGGAAGAGACACGTGCCTTACAGTGTTTCGTGAGTCCTTGTTAGTGCTCCTCCACCTTCCAACCCCCAGAGGAGCCTTGGGAGTTCCTACAATGTCCAGGGAATCTTTGTGTCTCTTCTTCCCACAGAGAGACAAGGCTGGAAGAGGCCTTGGAGAATTTATGTGAGCGGATTCTGGATTACAGTGTTCATGCTGAGCGCAAGGGCTCATTGAGATATGCCAAGGTCAGACCCTTCCCCTGGGCAGGACCCCACTTCTCAGAAATCAAGACCTATATCCCCTGAGGTCCTCAAGAGATATCTGTCCATTTCCCTCCAGCTCTGGAGTATCCCCTTCTCACTGTCAGGCTCCCTCATCTTACCCTTGTGGAACTCACCCCTGAGTTTCTAGTACTTCACAAAGCTGATATGGTGGAAAGGAGAAGGAAGAGGTGGGGTGGTGGGCTGGACTGATTCCAAATTCTTCATCTCTTAGGGGCAGAGTCAAACCATGGCAACGCTGAAAGGCCTAGTGCAGAAGGGGGTAAAGGTGGATCTGGGGATCCCTTTGGAGCTATGGGATGAGCCCAGCGTGGAGGTCACGTTCCTCAAGAAGCAGGTAGGATAAGACACTCTGCTGTTTAGGGAGGAGACAAGGAAACCTGAGAGGGGAGTTAGGTCCTAGAGTTTGACTGAGGGGATATCCACCTCTAAGCAGGGAGAAGGGGGCAGAGTGAGGATTGTGCCATTGATTAAAGTGGCACATCAAGAGGTAACAACAGAAGCTAATAATAGCTACCACCACTTATTGAGCACCTACTATGTGCCAAATTCTTGGCCACATACTTTCCAGCTGCTGCCTCATTTTCTCTCACAACACCATGATGTGATAGGTCCTGTTTACGTTTCCCACTTTTCAGGTGAGTAGCTGAGACTCAGAATTTAATAACCTCCTTGGCAGAGTAGGTGCTAGTAAGTGTTTGTTGAATGAATGAGATCACACATCTAGTAAGCCAAGCCTAACTTCCTGGCTACCTGCCTCTCCAAAGTTAGTCAAGTGGAGTCAGGGAGACAGGGAGTGGAGAGCAGAGAGGAGGGCTTCCAAAGCCCAGCAGAGCAGATATTCTTCTAGCCCTTCCATCTGACCAGTGTGAGACAATGCTGGAGGAGTTTGAAGATGTTGTTGGAGACTGGTACTTCCACCATCAGGAGCAACCCCTACAGCATTTTCTCTGTGAAGGTCATGTGCTCCCAGCTGTTGAAACTGGTAAGTGTGGGGGTTAGGCTCCTCTCCTGCCAGGCCACAGCCTCCCCTATCTCCAGGACAAATATCCAAATTGTTTTCTTTCACCCAACCTAGCATGTCTACAGGAAACTTGGACTGGAAAGGAGAAGATCACAGATGGGCAAGAGAAGACCAAAGAGGAGGAGGAAGAAGAAGAGGAAGAGGAGGAAGGAGAAAAGTTGACCAAGACACCAGGCCACCCCAAGCATGACCCAGAGGATCTTTGACCCCTGTCTTTGAGCCCCCAGGAGGGGCAGGGATGATGGAGAAGAATGCTCTGAAGTCTGAGCTCTCCCTGCCCCACAGCTTTCAGGGTGTGTGTTTGTATGTGTGACCCCACCCCAAAGCTTATAGCTGTTCTCTCCCATCTGATGTCAGGCAGGATCCTGGTGATGAAGCATCACATGCCTATGGGTAGAAAGGTGAGAGTTGCAGGTGGAAGTACGGTCCCTACAGATGGGCCCTCTGCCTGCCATACATCTCCTTAACTGGCAAGTGTGTGTGGTGACATTACTGAAGTCTTTTCCCTTTAAATGTCTCTACTGCACCCCACCCCCACCCAGAGGTCAGCGGTGGCTGTGAGTTGGAGCTGTGTATTTTCTTGGGAAAGTCACTTTGTCCCTCAGGGTCTGTTTTTAGACCCTTACAAGGAAGAGGCCTGAACAAACATTGTCTGGGACCTATATCCACTGTCTGCATTGGGGAGCTACATGCCAGCAAACCGTGAACGAGAATAGGACACTGGGTGGGGGCAAGGTGACGCTGGTAAGTTAGGTGGGGTAGACACTTGGTCTACTTCAAATTGCCTTCACCGAGGGCCCACCAGATAATTTCACAGGTGCTAAATTTTCTATATCGCTATTAAACTTTTTTTTCTTTAAATACCAGCTGGGCCCAAAGTTTCCAACAACAGCCGTGCACACACTGTAGCTGATTAATGAGGCGGCGCCCAAATAATAGAGAGGGCCATTGGCCGCCGTCCAGTTAGAAAATAACGTTACTTGATCATTTTGCAGCCCAAGGGGGCAGGGGTCGTGGGACCGAAAACCGTGTCGGAGCTGGACTCGGAGCAGTTTGAGGAAGGCGCCGGAAATAAAGTTACGTGCGTGGTGCCGCTTCGGCCACCATACCACGGTGTATGGGAGCTCACAGAGGACAAAATTCCTTGCGCTTTTACGACTTCTGCGCTTTCCTCGAGTGAAGTAAAACCTAAGAGAGGCGATACAGCCAGGTCCAGGGGAGAGAGCACTTAGAGTGAGAGAAGTAAGGCTGTCCTTTGGAGGGTGACGGAGGAGGACTGCCCGAGACTAGCGCGGCGGGGCAGACTCACGTGGGAAAGCAAGCTGGGCCGTGGCATCTTTGGCAGGGAGTTGGGGGGGGAGGGTGGCAAAGAACTGACACTTGGAAGTTGCCACTTGAGTAGTGGCGGGCGGGGCGTGTGTGGGGACGCGGAGCGCCTGTACCGTCGCCTACAGCACCACTTCCTTTTTCCCCAGCCCGTCCCTCTCTGCCATGAGCAGCCTAGTGCGGACCGAGCCGCTGCGCGGTGGGGCCCCTCTGCTGGTGCCCGGTGACTCCTACTCGGTCGTGGTTCTGCTGCAGGGCTACGCGGAGCCCGAGGGCGTAGACGACGCCGTGCGCTCCGACGGCTCTGTGACCCTTGTCCTGCCCCAGGGCTCCGGCCAGCAAGAGTCCCCACCCCGGGGCGCGAAGACCGCCCTGGAGGAGGCGGCCCGTGGCCCCATTCTCGTGGATACCGGCGGCCCCTGGGCTCGGGAGGCGCTGCTAGGAGCCTTGGCGAGACAGGGCGTGTCCCCGGAAGACGTGACTCTTGTGGTGGGGACCCACGGGCACTCGGACCATATCGGGAACCTGGGGCTGTTTCCGGGTGCAGCTTTGCTGGTCTCGCACGACTTCTGCCTCCCCGGGGGCCGCTACCTGCCCCATGGGCTCGGTGAGGAGCGGCCCCTGCAGCTGGGGCCTGGGCTCGAGGTGTGGGCCACGCCGGGCCACGGGGGCCAGCGAGACGTGAGCGTGGTGGTGGCGGGCACGGCCCTGGGCACTGTGGTGGTGGCGGGCGATGTATTTGAGCGTGATGGAGATGAGAATTCATGGCAGGCTCTGAGCGAAGACCCAGTGGCCCAGGAGCGGAGCCGGAAGAGGGTCCTAGACACTGCCGACGTAATTGTGCCTGGTCATGGAGCCCCTTTTCTTGTGTTCAGGGAAGCCTCGAAGCCAGAGACAAAGAGTTGACAGAACAGCCGGCAGGAGCCAGGGAGCATAGACTAGGAGTCCCCGCTGGACTGATAAGTCCTGAGAGGGGCTGGACTCTTGTCAAGGAAGCGCTTAAACGAGGACGGAGAGGACCCGGCCCGCCAGTGTCAGAGCAGTCAAGGGTGGTCACTTCTAGCCCATCCAGGAGGCCAGTTTTCCAGTGAGGACACAGTGTTCTAGACACTGTGGTTGCCAATATCACTCTCTATCAGTCTCTGCAACCAAATTAGGACCAAAGACTGGCTCAGCTCCGTGTGTGTTCTCCCCAGGCCTCAGCAAAATGGGAGGATGTTCTCGTGAGGTTTATCTGAAATAAAAATAGAAACTGCATTGAAAATCATACTGCCCTAATGTAAATGTGAAGCACTGATAGTAACAATTCTGCAAATATGGTAATCAGCAACTGCATTGGGGGACACTTTGGCCAATTGTGTATTTCTCACAGGGTGCAGGTTGCTGAGAGAAGGTGCAGGGCATAGAGGTGACCCCTGGGTCATCTGATTTTAATTCATTCACTTATTCATTCAGTGGATATTTAACACCTGCAGTGTCTCAGGCTCTGCCCTAGGTTATGGGATTCAACAGTGTGCAAGGTAGACAAACTCCATATCCTTCCTAGAGGTCACATTCTTTTGAGGAGACAGACAAGTACACAACAGCAACAATAATAGTAACAAGGCAAATAATTACAGGTTGTGGTTAGTGATATGAAAAAAGCAGAGTAAGGAGGGAATAGAATGTAGGATAGTTGGGAAAAGCCTCTGTGAGGAGACAGTGTTTGATCAGAGAACTGAATGAGAAGAAAGTCTGCCATTTGAGGATCTGGGAAAAGGGTGGAATGGGCAGGTGTAAAGGCTCTGAAGCTGGACAGCTTAACCTATATCAGCAGCAAGAAAATCCATGCAGTTGGACTGCAAAAGGCCAGGGAAGAGCAGTAGGGAATAAATGAGACTGCAGAGTTAGGCAAGGCCACCATGCAGGGCATTGGGGATCAATGGTAAGGGGTTTGGGTGTATAGGAAGTGAGGTGGAAGCAGCTGCTGGCTTTTGAGCAGACTAAAATGGTAGCTCAGAGAAGCTCATTCACCCTGTGGATGAACCAGTCCCTGCCATACATGGATTTGTAGCCGGTGTTGGCCAGTTTGATGACCACAAGAGTGACAGGTTCCCAGGCCAGCAGAGCAGCCACGGCTGCCCAGATCCCTGACAGTCATTGCACAAAGGTGGACAGAAAGAAGGAGGTGAAGTGGCCTCCCAGGCCCAGGGTTTTGGATCACAATCTGGACAGACACTAACCTGAATGCTCTAATCCCAAATATTGAAATCGAGAAAGATCAAAATCTCTAATGTCTAAAAATCTCCAACTTCTAAAATCCAGGAAAATCACAGTCACAGGATAGTTGCATCATATTAGGCCAGCTTTGATGGACTTTCTCCATGCAATCACCTACAATCTATCCCTCTAATATACCTTTTCATTATGTCAAATTTTCTTTTTTTGTTTTAAAATTTTTTCCACTATTTTAAGTTGTCAGCATTACTTTTTACGACTTGCTATGCTATGATTTCATTTATCCTCCCAATTTTTGATAGTTATTTTTTTCCTACTTTTTTGGGATTTGTAATATATATACATTATCATCTGTAATCATAATTCCCACGTTTATTTTAGCTTTAGTCTTACAATTAGATGAGTTTATTTTCATTGCCAGATTTTACTGTAGATTTTCCAATAAACTCTTGGTTGATTGAAATTTGACTCATTCTTAAAGAAAGTCAACTATATTTCCTGAGTTATTGCATATTTGAAATATTTGTCTGTTACACTCTGAGACCACTCTTCCCATGGGTTGCTCCCAGCCCATGACTGGACACAGCAGGGATACTAAGGCGGCCCATTCCTGGGAGATGCAAGACTCCCTGAAGGTTATCTTTGTGTTTTGTTTTTGTTTTGGGGGATTTTTAGAGAAAGGGTCACCTAGGATAGAGGGCAGCATCGTCATCATAGCTCACTGCAGCCTTGAACTCCTGGGCTCAAGCTATCCTGCCTCAGCCTCCCAAATAGCTGGGACTACAGGCACATGCCACCATGCCTGGCTAATTTTTCTGTTTTGTTGTAGAGACGGGGTCTTGCTTTTGCTCAGGCTGGTCTTGAACTCCTGGCCTCTTTTCTTGGTCTCCCAAAGCGTTGGGATTACAGGTGTGAGCCACTGCCCTGGCCCTGATGATCATCTTTGATGCAAGGACTTCCCAATGGTCCTGCCAAACTTTCCTGAGACTGCACCATGGTCTAGGATGCTTCCACAAACCCTCCTTACCTCCTCCTTTACTCAAGGCCAGCCTTGCATCATAGTCTGAGGCTCTCTCAGCCTCACCTGGCTCTCACCTATAACCTCTCACAGGTGTCTCCTCTAATAAAATCCTTGCACTTCTCATCTTGTCTTGGCACCTCCTTCTTGGTAGACCTGGACCAACTGAGAGGCACAGCAAAATCCTCTTTAATGTCGATTAGGACCTCAGGATAATCCTATCTTATATATCTCAAGTGGAGAACAAGGGGGATTGGATAGAAAAAAAAATTACCCACTGAGAAATTATTGGGAATATAGGTACTTCAACCACAGTTATCTCCTAGGCATAGGATTCTAGGTGATATTTGTTTTCTTTGTTGGTTTTTGTTTTTTTTTTTTTTTTTTTTTTTTTTTTTTTTAAATTTTCTACAAAAAGCATGTATTGCTTTTGACAATTAGGAGAAATATTTTATTTTACAAATCAGTACATAGAGTCTTTATATATATATAGTCAGGCTTTCCAGAGGAGTGGTTCTGATGAACTGAAATGACACTCAGCTCTTATATCTTTGCAAGGCTCGTTGACAAGTCTCCCTCAATGGAGACTCTTACACATGGAATGACAATCCTTATATGTACTGATGTTGCAGATGTTGCTGGCTCTGTCCCCTACCTTCATCCTCAAACACTGCCTTTCCACATGGGAACTGAACCTCTGCCAGGCTTCCCTTCCCTGCCATCCCCCACACTCCCATTCTTGCTGGTTGACTTTATGGCCTGTGCATTAAACAGAGGTAGGAGAAGAGTATTGACAGCTGAGGCGAAGGACCTACAGGCTCAATGGCCACTGGCTTCCCTATCAGTGCAACCCCAGGACCCTCAGAAGTGCTCAGGTGGGGCAGACGAAGGAGAGGAGCAAGTCTACCTCATTATGGTGATGAATGGCCTTGAGTGGATGCTGTCTGGCAGGGCCAGGCTGGAAGTCATTTCCCAGGTGTCCACAAAGGGCCACGCAGTCCAGCGAAAACAGCTTGGAGGAGTCTGTTCACCTGGAGGGTGAACCAGTCACTGACATACATGGACTTGTAGCCCATGTAGGCCAGTTTGATGACCACAAGAATTTCAGGTTCCTGAGCCAAGAACCCCTGCCAGTCATTGCACAAAGACAGACAGCAAGAAGATGGTGAAGTGGGCTCCCAGGCCCAGTACCACCACAGGGTGGAGGCCCCCTTCCAGGGCCCCCAGCTCCCAGGTCACAGGATGCAGAGAGGCCACTGGTGCGTGGATAAGCGCAGGGCCCAGCTGTCGGCCTGCCAGTGCAGCATTATGCCCTGAGTGGTCTCCATGGCCATCGAGGGCCCTGACTGATATGTGGCATGTAGATCCACTGGTTTCAGGGCTATTGGGAAAGTGAGAGAGAAGGGGTCAGGGGTTAATAGAGGGTTGTATTTCCCCATTTAAAATTACAAGGATCTAGCAAGTATCCTATGACCTGGTTTGCTCTCCCTAACCTATTATATAATATTGCCAATGACCTCTTAGTTACCAAATCTGAAGTCTTATTCTCAGTCCTAAGCCTCCCTGGCATTTTGTCTAGCTGATTTTTCTTTGGAAATCCTCTCTTTTCTTAGTGGCGTGTTGGTGCTCTGTGGCTCTCCACCTTGGATTTGTCCATTGGCTTCCATTAGTCTCCCCTGGGTAAAAATTTACCCCAAGCTGGAGACTTGAGGTCATCCACATACATCCCTGCACCATAGTGGCTGGCCTAGGAGGCCAGTGGCACTTAAGACCCAGTCTGTTTGCTCAGTTCTGTGCCCTGACACACAGCTAGATGCACCTGCATGAAAAGGTCCTTTCTTTGCACAAAGTCCCTGCATGCTTGCCCCACCATGTGCTCAAAGGCTTCGGGGGCCCAGAGGGACACCTTTTTCCGATTCACAGTAAGTTACCACATCAGCCAGTAGAGACTCTGGTTTTCACAACCTTCTGTCATGAATTTCCTTCCATCTTTAGAAATATCTCCTGTTTGGGGAACTCCCCCAGTCCAATAGCAGAATTGTCCCAAAGTGACCCTGGAAGTCATTTGAGGTTACCTAAACGTTGAATCAGGTGGACCTGGGGACTTCTCTTTCTCCCAGAGGTAGGGGCTGCACCCCAGCTAATTCTCCTGGGAGGCTGGGGGTGTCAATTGTGCAGCAGAAGCGTAGACAACATCCCAAGGTGGGCAGTGGGTATTTCCAGACATTGCCTATAAACAAATGGTGTCCCACCTTCAGACTGTTTTGTGCCAAGAAGCTGGATAAGACTGCTTTCGTGTTCATAGGTAAAAAGGGAGAGTGATGGGGGATATCCCTAGGAGCTATTAACAGCTAACCCTGGGAGGGGCAGTCCCTCCCTGGGTCCACAAGACTCCAAGATGTCAAATCATCATAAAATACAGAAAATAAAAAACATGATTAATACGAGAAGATACCAGGAGTCTTTTGTAAGGAGTCTTAACTCTCCTCTTGGTCTCACTAAGCCTGCTCCAGTCCAGATTCTCACTCCCTCTTCTCCTAGAAAAGGCTAAATTCAATGTCAGTTCTCAGCCCTGATCATCAGCCCTTGGCTGAGCTTGGCACTCCCTCCTCCCTGAGACACACCCTTCACCTGGTTTCCTGGACACCTCAGTCTCCTGGCTCCTCCTTCTGCAATTATTCCCCTTCTCCTCAACCTCTCTGTATTGGAGAGCGCAGGTTCAGTCCTTGGTCCTCTCTTCTAATTACACTCACTCCCTTGGTGGTCTCGCTCAGCCTCCTGATTTTAACTTCCACATTTATATCTCCAGCCAAGAACTCTCTCTGCAATACCAGGCTTGTGTTTTTAACCATCTGCTCGGCATCTCTGATTGACTCCTCTGGGAACCTCACAAAAGTGGAATCATACAGTGTAGTCCATTCTCAACACAGAGATCTGTGAGACCCTTTTAAAATGTAAATTATATCATGCCCCTCTTCTGCTCAAAATTCTGCAATGGCCCCCTTTTTGCTTAGAGCAAAACCCAATGTTCTTACAGAGCCCTTCTTGGTCATACTATGCCCTTCCTTACACTCCTTGATCTTTTTGTCTACTGTTCTCCCATCCTTCACTTCATCCTAACCATCTGGTTTCTTTACTGTTCCTCGGATGCACCAGGCACACTCCTGTATCCTCTCTATCTGGAATGCTCTGGGTTTTGGGGGGATTTTTTTTGGTTGTTTTTTGTTTCGAGACAGAGTTTCACTTGTTGCCCAGGCTAGAGTGAGTGCCATGGCATCAGCCTAACTCACAGCAACCTTAAACTTCTGGGCTCAAGCAATCCTACTGCCTCAGCCTCCCAAGTAGCTGGGACTACAGGATGTGCCACCATGCCTGGCTAATTTTTTCTATATATATTAGTTGGCCAATTAATTTCTTTCTATTTTTAGGAGAGACGGGGTCTCACTTTTGCTCAGGCTGGTTTCAAACTCCTGACCTCGAGCGATCCACCCGCCTCAGCCTCCCAGAGTGCTAGGATTACAGGCGTGAGCCACCACGCCTGGCCATCTGGAATGCTTTTGCCCCAGATATCTTCTTGGCCAACTCTCTCATCTCCTTGCTCTCATCTCATTTCTCAAATGTCTCCTCTTCCTCCTTTTCCTATTCCTCTACCTTCTCTTCCTCCTCCTCCTCCTCCTTTTCCTTCTTTTGAGATAGGATCTTGCTCTGTTGCCCTGGCTAGAGCACAGTGGCATTATCATAGCTCACTGCAACCTCAAACTCCTAGGCTCAAGCAATCTTCCCACTACAGCCTCTATAGTAGCTGTGACTACAAGCACGCACCACTATGCCTGGCTAATTTTTCTATATTTTGTAGAGATTGGGTCTCACTTTTGCTCAGGCTGGTCTTGAACTCCTGGCCTCAAGCAATCCTCTCACCTTAGCCTCCCAAAGTGCTAGGATTACAGGTGTGAGCCACCTCACCTGGCCAAATACCACCTTAATAAGATCTACCCTGACCCCCTATTTAATATTACAACCTTCCCCCACCACACTCACACCTAATTTTTCCTCCTCTATATTTTAAAATTGTGCATGTCATGTATCTCCTTCTCACATTGTATATAGTTTACTTTTTTTTAATTTTTAAATTATAATTATGGTTCCCTGACTGGGAACCAAGCCCGGGCCATGGTGGTGAAAGTGCCGAATCCTAGCCATTAGACCACCAGGGATTATATAGTTTACTTATTGTTATGTTTATTGTTTATCATCCCTTCCTCCTGTCACATAGAAGCCTTACCAGATCTGGGCCTTTGTTTCTTCACTGATCTATTCCCAGTGCTTGGAGCAGGGCCATGCACATAACTGGTACTCAGCAAGCATTTGCCAAATGAAGGAACAGACTGATTGAAGACATTATGTCCTAGGAGGAGGAGGAGGAGAAGGAGGGAATTCGCTTTTTGTGAGGTGTGTGTGAGGGAGTATTACTACAATTTGGAAAGATGCACAAGCATAGCCTTCCCTGAGAGTACCAAGGGCCCCGGTGCTCTACAGAGGTGACAGAGCTTCAGGAACCAGGTGCAGGATGGTCCCAGGTAGAGATGCCTGCCCATCCAGCAGGGCCCAAGACCACACAGGCTTGCACAATGAACACTTTTGGGTGACCAGTGTGGAAAGGGGACTAAGGAAGGATTCCTGATAGTCCAGGTGGATTCCTTTGCGTGGGTCCTTGGCGAGGGGACCCCTCCCCAT